CCCTATTATTTATTTATTTACTTTTTAAACTTTTTAGTAAAAAACTAAAACACAAGCACAACACATTAGCCTAGGCTTGCACAGGGTCAAGGTCATCAATATGACTGTCTTCCACCTCCACACCTTGTCCCCCTGGCATGTCTGCTGGGACAATAACTCACACAGAGCTGTCATCTCCTATGACAGCAGTCCCTTTGTCAGGATCGTGGGGAATACCTCCTGCAGGACCTGCCTAAGGCTCCTCTTGTGAGGTGTCACTTTTTTTTACAAATATGTTCATACTGGTTTGCTTAGTTTGTTTCTTTTTATTTTTATCATAGATTTGTTTATAATCATATAATGTACCATAAATATTCCTCTATTTATGAAAACTTTTCGATGTTAGGGTCCATGTTTTCAAACAATTTTCCCTTTATTTAATTTTCCCCCAACACCATCTATCTCCCCAATACCCTCTTCCACCTCCAGACCCCACCCCACCGCAATCAACACACTGTTGTCTGTGTCCATGTCCATGAGTGCTTTGTCTTTCTTTTTTGCTTAGTCTTTCCACACAGCCCAACACCTCTTCTCACCAGAGCTGTCTGCCTGCTCTCTATCTCTCAGTCTGTCTCTATTTTGCTTGTTAGGTCAGTTTGTTCACTAAGCTCCACATATGAGTGAAATTATCTGATATTTGTCTTTCTCTGACTGGCTTATTTCACTTAGCACAATGTTCTCCAGGTCCATCCATGCTGTCACAAAGGTTAAAGTTTTCTTCCTTTTTAAGGCCGAGTAGTATTTCATTGTGTAAATGTTCACTGGCTGTTTTACAGACACTTGGGCTGCTTCCAAATCTTGGCTATTGTAAATAGCATGCAATGAACTTAGGAGTACTTCTATTCTTTCACTTAGTGTTTCTGTTTTCTTCAGATAAATTCCCAGGAGTGGAATTTCTGGGTCATAATTATGGCAGTTCCATTTTAAGGAGCTGGTTGAGATCTGCAAAAGCTTTTGCTAAATTCTTTAGTGTGAACTTTCATGAATGTTCTTCTTCTCCTTTTTTTTTTTTTTTTTGTAATGTACTTATCTTTCTCTTGCCCGTTCTTTAGCTATATGTTCCTCTTCCAGTTCCAACAGCTCTTCATTTGTCAGCTCCTCAGGATCAACCTGTAGGAGTTCCTGATATCATCTTCATCCACACCAAGGTTAAAGTTATTTGTCCTCTCAACCATAGCCTTGCTGATTTTCATAACCTCCTCATCCTTGGCAAATTCTTTGAAGTCACAGACGATGCTCTTGACTGTATTCTTCCAGATGCCATTCATAAACTCCTTGGTGACATCACCTCAGGTCCAAGCAAGGTCCCCGACGCAGTCATAGGTACTATAATCCAGAATTGCACCAGCGTCTTCTTCAGTTGCAGCAATGGCCTAGGCCAAGGTCCTCCTCAGGGAGTAGGCCTTAAAAGTTGCTGTAACTCCTTAACCCATTGGTTGGATAAAACAGGTCATGATGGTGTGAAGGAAAACCCCTATTCTGTAAAACTACTGTTTGGAATTCTCTGCTATTCTTTGGACGACCTCTTATTCTGAAAAAGTAACTTTGCTTTCTAGCCTGCCTGAAGAGTGGGGGAGATAAACTTAGCTCTCTGACCTTGTAGGCCAGAGACTAGATACACCCAATGCCATGCCAGGTGCGTGTTTTAATTGGATAGAGCTGTGTAGTTTTCAAGGCCACCGCCAGCAAGCACACAAAGGGCTGGATCTTCTATAAAAAGGGAAGTTCTGCTTGTAGCTCTGCTTAGATTTGGATTCATTTCCCTGAGCCCGCCGCGGTGAATAAAGTGTAACTCCAAACTCTCAGAGCGCTGTTTGGTTCTTGTCCGGTTTTTCTGTAACAATGGGAGGGAGAAAAACAACCTTGATATGGGGATGAAGATCACTGATAAAAGGAGGATGTCCAGAAACGTTATCAACAATAAGCAAAACCATGAAAAATATATTATTCTTCAAAATGCCTCCTGAATGGCTATTTCATTTTGCTGGCATAGCCATTCAGGAGGGCATTTTGGAAGAGGAGCTGGGTCATCCATGACTCCTTACTGGTTCTGTGGTCCAGTGGCAGTGTGTGCTTATGGAAGGCCTTAGGCTTCTCACTGCGCCAGATCATAAAGGGTTTCAATGTGTAGCCTGCAGCATTGCCCCCAGCAGGGCTGTTATCCTGTCCTAATAAGCCTTGAAATCTGGTATTGACTTGGCCTCCTTATGGATGAAAGTCCTCTCAGGCATCTCTTTCCAGAATAGAAAAGTTTTGTTCATATTGAGTATGTGATTTGGCAAGTAATTTTCCTCCACAATCAGCTTAATTCAGTTTCCAAAAATTCTTCAGGTGCCTTCACATCAGCACTCACAGACTCACCACTCACGTTCACAATTATATAATGAATAATGATTCTGGAATCATTCGAACCACCAGTGCTAGCAGTAAATGCCACATTGTAGTCAGATCCAACCTCGCATACTTTTTGATTTTTCTGTGATTGACACGGTGCTGCGAGGGATATGCTCTGTGTCTGGTCTTCAATCAGGTCATTGGAAGACTCTCCATGTCTGATAAGGGCCCTTCTTAAATGTTTGTTAGACTAGCCTTCAATGAAGCAGATCCTTTTAACAGTTTCCATCACTTTGTTTGCTTTTTATTTATTTTTTATCTTCCTTGTTGGAAGTATTATACATGTCCCATTTTTTCCTCATTGTCCCCTTCTAGCCCGCCACCCACCCTCTGCCCCAGGCCTTTACCAGACTACTGCCTATGTCCATGGGTTATCAATATATGCATACAAGTTCTTTGGTTAATTTCCTTCCAGCCACTCACCTTTCCCCACTTTCCCTCTGAGATTCCACAGTGTGTTCATTGCTTTTTGTTCTTAAAGAGCATAGCTATGGTTTCCACCTGAAGAGCAATGGCTATCACTAATTTTCTGCCTTCATAGTCTTTAATCACTTTTAATTTCATTTGAGGATCATTCACATAATGTGGCCTTTTACTGGCAGTAGATTTTGCATGTTTAGGGGCCATAATAAACAAAACAACATGAGATTAAGTCAATCTATTAATTGCTTTAGGGAAGATCAGATACTATATGCAATTAAGAATTTAATTGATCAGAAATATTGGCTGGTGCTTTTATTTGCTTGCAGTGTCCTAATCTGGCTTTGATATCAGGGTAATGCTTACCTCAGAAAATGGGTTTAGGACTGTTCTTTCCTCTTCAATTTCCTGGAAGTGTGTAAGAAGGAGTAGCGTTAATTCTTCTCTAAATGTTTGGTAAAATTCAACAGTGGGAGCATACTGTCCTGGACTTTACTTAGTGGAAGGTTTTTCATTACTAATTCACTCTCCTCACTCATTATCAGTCTATTCAGACTTTCGATTTCTTCATGACTCAGAGTTGGTAGGTTTTATGTTTCTAGGAATTTGGAAACATTGAAAAGTCCTATTTCTTAACTTTGGAAGTCCTATTATTGCTGAGGAAATAAAATAAGCTTCACTATTAATCATATTGTAGACCTTCTTCATATAAGGTGGTTGGTAATTCCCAGGTAAATGCCAACTTCTTTTGTATTAATAATCTGTGTTTTGGGGCATTTCCCCTTTTGGGACTTCTCTCTTCAGGGTGGCATCTGGGTTTATTGTAATGGCTTGGAGAAAATTATTTCATTTGTGTGTTGTCACGGAGTTTTCTCTGGCTTGCACTGAGGTTTCTCATAGTGCTTGGCCCATTTGCCCTCTTCTGCTATTGTAGCATACTCTGCTGAGAGACCAAGATTGATATAATTGCGGTCTATTCTCTTTGCTTGTTCACTGTAAGATGATCTCAGATATTTTGATAAATGTCCCAAATATTACACTCTGGGACCTAACATCCACTATGCTCCAAAATGACATTTTTAATAACCTTGAAAAAAGGTTAGCTGTAGCTCTAAGCATTCTTTGAGTATTATCAGTCAAATGATTGGTTTCAGCAATTTCATGGTATAAATAGGGCGATTGAAGGTAGTGATTTTAGGTTAAAGCTTAAAATTGAATTGAAACAAATGAACTCCTACATCTCATTCATACATAATAAAACTCTTCTTATGCATGAAAAACATTACTACATTTTGAGTACTATATTTTGAGAAATATATTACTATATTTGTAAT